CTGCTGTACCAGATCGCACAAGCAGAAGCCAAGAAGGAAAACGGCCCCACTCTGAGCACCATCTCGGCCCTGCTGGACGAGCTCAGGTGAGGATCGGCTGGCCTGGGGAACAGGGCTGGGCCAGCCTCTCTGCCGGGGGTGCTGGCTTAGCTCCACGGTGGGCTTTGCTGATTTAGCTGTGCTTTGCCCAAGCAGGCCATGAGGGGTTTAATGGGGACCCCAGTGATGGGGAGTGGAGTGGAAATCAACCCAGAGGGCCTGGCTCCAGGAACTCTTTGTCAGCCCATTTGTGGGGTGTGCATTCAGGCTTGAGTGTCTGTTGAGAGCGGGAGAGACACCCCAAGTTCACTGGTTAGTATGGCCTCCCGGGGCTGTGAGCATCACTATTTCTCTGCCTGTCCAGAGAAATATTTTTCTGCTCTGGGCCTGGAGGTGTGTGCACCTGCTGGGACCACTGGCAGAATCCTGCCTGAGGGATGTGGGCCCTTGTGGCGGTGTGGGGGTACTGTGGTCCAGTGGCTGCACAGAGGGTCCCGGCAGGCTGTGGCAGCTGCAGGCAGGTCCTTGGCAGAGCTTGCTGAGCGCCGGCCTGTGCTTGTCGTGTAGGGACACGGAGCTGCGGCAGCGCAGGCAGCTGTTTGAGGCAGGCCTCCACTCGTCCGCGCGCTACGGCAGCCATGACGGCAACAGTGCCGTCGCGGATGGCAAGAAAAAGCCTCGAAAGTGGTTGCAGCTGGAGACGTCGGAGCGGCGCTGCCAGATCTGCCAGCACCTGTGCTACCTCTCCATGGTGAGGCCTCGGCGCGGCTGCTGTCCATCTCGGGGGCCCCGTACTCTGCTCCTTTTTTTTCTTGGGAGGGAGGCCCACCAGCCTCAGGTTGCAGCTTCTGTTCAGCTACGAGACCCCTCGGCCCCTGAGCACATGGCATACTTGGTTCAGGCGGGCTTTTCCTGTCTTTGCAGCCGCTTGTTTCAGGCTCCAACTCTGCAACCCTCTATTACCATGATGGTCGGCTTCTCTCCCTTTGCTGCTGGCCTCCCTCACCCCCCGGTGGAGCTTGTTGGGGCCAGTGCAGCTCCTTATGGGCACCTGCCCGACCAGCCTGGGGCAGGTGGCACTCTGGCAGCGACCCTGCCAAAGCTCAGGGCCCTGGACTCACGGGAGCACCCCACAGCAGGCAGCTTGACCTCTAGGCTGCTTCCCTTTGGCTGCCTGGAATGAAGTGAAAGTGGCCACCTCCCGCCGACAAAGAGAAGCTTGGTGCGGTCTCGTTTGCCATGAGTCAAAAGTGCCAGGAACTCTTGGGGTGGTGCTGCGTGCCCCTTCCGTCCGTGCTGGATGTCTGGGTCCTGCCTGCCCACATCCCCCAAACTCCCCAGGCGCCCTGTGGGGCAGGCCTCAGCCACTTCCCGTGGAGGCCCAGACGTTACAGCAGAGGGGACAGCCAGGGTTGCTGGTCAGGTTGGGGTTCTCCACGTACGCAGTGCTCTGGGGCTCACAGAGCCTCCAGGTCTCCCTGGCAGCCATGTGGGCTCCCGTGACCTCTGCTGTCCTGCCCCCCGTGCAGGTGGTCCAGGAGAACGAGAACGTCGTCTTCTGCCTTGAGTGTGCCCTGCGCCACGTGGAGAAGCAGAAGTCCTGTCGGGGTCTCAAGCTGATGTACCGCTACGACGAGGTGTGTCAGGCAGCGGTGGGCTCTGTGGGGGCCCTTGCAGCCCCGTGGGGAGGTCCCTGCTGTCTGTGGTACGCCCCTTCCAGCAGCACCTACATCCTCTGCCTCCGTGGGAGCCCTTTAAAGCGGGGGCAGTGCTTCCCATTTGTGGTCGCATTCTCACGGATCTTTTCCTGGGGCACGGGCTTGACCAGCTCCCCGGACCAGCCCGTGGGGCCACCTAGGGCCCTGCCCCACCGAGGGGCCTTGCTCTGTGCTCTCCCACCTGACCTGGCAGCTGGCCCCTCTCAGCACTGCCCTTGAGGGAGCCCATTCCCCTTCTGGACTGCGAACTTGGTCCTCTCTTTGTTGGTCACAGCCGCTTCCCTGCCAGGCACCAGGGCCTGTTAGACAGTGACGGTGTGGCTGTGTGCTCCCTTCTGGTCATCCACTTGTAGGCCACCCAGCAGGCCAGGCCCTCGGGGCGCTGCGCTCCCTTCCTGTGGCAGCGCACAGCGGCCCCAGCAGGGCACTGGTTGGCCTGGTGGGCAGTGCAGGGGTAGTTGACCTTGGTGTGAAGAAGCAGGGAAACACATCTCTGTGTACTCTTAGAAGATGCCTCGCGGAAGCCACCGGCTGCACGAGCGTGGAGTATCTGCTTTAGGGAGCGGGTGGGTGACAGGAGGGCCCAGGCTTCTTGACATTCAGGGTGGCAGAGCAGAGCCAGGCAGCCTCTGCAGTGCAAGGCTGCCCCTGGCTGGGCCCCTCCCGTTTAGAGGCCTTATCATCACCAAGAGTGGGGGTGTGTGTGGGCCTGTCACAGCCTCCTGTGACCTGCCGGCTGGGGTGCACTCCCCAGGCAGTCCCGGGGCCATGCCTTGAATCCGTCTTCTTTTCTGCCCCACACAGGAACAGATCATCAGCCTGGTCAACCAGATCTGTGGCAAAGTGTCCGGGAAGAACGGCAGCATTGAGAACTGTCTCAGCAAACCCACACCAAAAAGAGGCCCCCGCAAGAGAGCGACCGTGGCCGTGCCACCCTCCCGCCTGGCGGCCTGCAGCTCATCCAAAAGTGCTGCGGGGGCATCATGAAGATGCCAACACCATGCTCGATTTCTATATATTTTTTGTAATTATATTCTAGTTTGGAGTACTTGCTGTAGGATACAAGCTGTCTTTGCACTAGCTCTAAAGAAGATTTTCTTCTGGTTTTAGAGAACTAATTTTGTTTTAGCATTAAACTGTTGAACCATTGTTTTTGTACTTAGAATACCTAGACACTGCAGTCCGATCGGAAGCTGCCGTATACTCACTGTTTTCAACCCTTGGGGCTGTATTAATTTGTATCGCCCCTGTGGCTGACAAAAGCCTTTTTTTGTTTTGTTTTATTGTTTTGTTTTGTTTTTTGTAACTGTTGGGGGGAAAAAGGCTTTTTAACCCGTTTTTGAAGAGGGTGAAGTTTGGAGAACAAAATTTTAAAACATCAGTCATGTGAGCAGATTTTTCTAGATTGGAAAAGGGATAGGACACACACACACACACAGACACACACACACAGAAAACTTGAAGAGGAACGGCTTTGCTTCGGCTGTCTGTCCTTCTGTCACGTGCGAGCTGAGTCTGTATTCTGGAAGCCGGAGGAGCCCTGTCGGTGTGCTCTGGCATGTGGCAGCTGGAGGCGGACTCTGTCCTGGCCGCGTGCGCAGTGAGGAGACTGGCGTGACTCGGTTCTCTCACCAGCACTGCACTATGCATCTGTCTGAGGAAGGAGGGGCGTGCGGGAGACCTGTGCCTGATTTCATTAGGAAATCCATTCTGTTATTTTTGGTGCTGTTGGCTCCTTTATCAGAAACCCTTCAATAATAGCATCCCTACAGAGGGAAAAAAAAAACACACACACACACACACAAGGAAAACCAAGTGGTGGAAGCCCGGAGCGCTTCTGCGTCACCGACGTGCAATCTGACATTCCATCCTCGTCTGCCCGCTCCCCGTGTGCACCCGACCGTCAGCATTAACCCTCTCCAGTCCTTCCCTCTGTGATCACTCGTAGAGCCACTAGGTCTGCAGTTCTTTCTGAATGTGAAAATGCATTTGTGCTCATCTTGTCTATTTTTCTCTTCATGTTGTAACAAAAAGGAAAAAAAAAATAGAAAAAAAGAATCCCATCCCTTTTGTACATACGCCTGTAAATTGTTTTAAATACTTGAGCCTTTTCTCAGTGGGGGCGGGGCGGGGGGAGAAGACGAGATGAAGAAAAGCCTTACACTTCAGTTTCTTCATCGTGGCGTTGGATGCTTACAGGGTTTTTCTTGTAACGTTGATAAGTGCTGCTTACATCACTGAACAACAACAACAGAACAATAATGGAGTAGCTGTTGCCCGTCTCCGCTTGTGTGTACAGTATGTGTGGAATAAAAAAGGGAAACTGTTTTCACAAGCTGTTCTTTGTTTCATAATTGGATTCATCGATCCCGTAGCTACCCATATTGCACTGAGCTTGCCAGTGGTGACTGCCAGGAACGTTCTCTGATCCACTTTGTTGGTCGTCGTTGCGGAAGACTGAACTGTTTTGGAATATTTAATAACAATGACATAAACAGTCAAGTGTTTGCCAATGTGGTTGTCCAGTGTTCTGGCCTTGCTGTGTCCCCTTGCTCCACAGTGACTTCTGCCTCTGGCTTACAGGTTGACGTTTAATTTATTAGCGCTGCTCTGCACCCTCCCTGGGGAGGGGAGACGTCATGTGGTTTTATTGCCAGTTTTTGTTTACTTTTCAGCTTTGTACTACAAGGTTTAATAATAAAAAGACATTTTTTGGACACCTGTCTGTCTGGTGGAAGCTGAATGAGTGCAGCGAGCTGTCACGGTGGGTGCCGGCGTGGACCTGCCACGGAGGGGTGCCACTGCTGCTGCTGGAGGCTTGTGGGGCCCCTGCTGCCGTGGGCGGGGCCTGCGTGGACCTCCCCGGTCCTCCCCAGTTCTCCCCAGTCCTCCCCGGCCATCAGGAGGGTGCTGGCGATGCAGGCCTTGGCCTTGGACCCACACGCGTGTCTGAGCTGGAGTTGGGGGCTGGCCTGCTGGCCCAGTGGTCAGGTTGGGATGGCAGAAGCGTGGTCAGAACAGAACCTGACTAAAACTCATTACATGTTGAGAACTAGAACTTTCTACATGTGATGGGGAGGTCATTAATACTCTCTGAACCAGGACCAGGGAGCCCACTTTCCCACCCACTTTCCCTCCCGCGTCCTACCTTGCTGATGCCAGGCTCTGCTTGGGGAACCTCTGCACTGGCCCTCTGGCTGTGGGTGCCCATGGGCCTTGGCACAGACAAGCTGGGGACTCCTGTGGTTTCAACTTTGCTTTATTCACAGCTCTTTCAGTCAACTTCTCACACATTTTTGGCAACTGTAAAAACCAAGACCCTCTATAGACAACCAGACTTTACAGGCGGGCTTGCGCTCACGCTCGAGTGTCGTTCAGTGTGCACGGATGTCCTGATTCAGGAGTCGCTGTCGTCGCTTGCCTCTGTGGCTGCCTTCCCGTCAGAGTGCAGTGTGGCCAGGGCCGTGTCCACCTGCACGTCCTCCTCATCCGACTGCACCATGGGGCGTGCGCTCCCTTCGCCCGCATCCTGCGCTGCCGAGTCGCTGCAGGTGGACGGGGAGGAAGGCGGCTCAGTGGGCAAGTGTGAAGGATGTGGAACCTCAAAGGTGATGCACGTTTGGGGTTCAGGTCCTACAAGGAAACGGAAAAAGAAACCTGTCATATGGTATGCCTTCAGGTTGCCATGGGCAACAGCAAATGGGTACAAGAAGATGGCATATGCTACTGTTGGTGGGCACTTGGGGTCTGCAGTGATGCTGTTTACCATGCAGCCTGTGCCAGGCCCCTGGGGGTGTGCGTCTGGGCCAGCCCACCCAGCAAGCCTGGACTGATGGCACCGGCCACGCAGCCCCTCCCACACCAGCGCCACGGCATGACGGCCGAAGTCCGCCCACCCCGCAGCTCTCCTAGGAATTCCAGTTTCTTTGGCGGCTGCACCGTTTCCGTGTTGTGCGCTGCCAGCAGCACGGCCCACACAACCCCTTCAGTCAGTGCTATGCCCCTGGGAGGATGAGGGTGGGGCCCCAAGGACCCCCCCTTTCTGGGACAAGCCTGCAGAAGCGCAGGGAGGGGATGTGGAAAACCACGGTAAGGAGGAACTTGACAAGGGGCTGAGGAACGCTGGGAGGGAAGAAGGTAAAGGGTCCAGGGAGCGGTGAGCGCAGCGAAGAGCCGACAAGGCACCTGGAAATGGGGGACAAAGCACCTAAACGGGCAAGAGCTGGGCTGGGCACACCCAAGCCTGTGGGCGAGGTACAAAGTTTACCTGAGCCTTGCGGCAGCTGCCCACACTCCTGGCCTTACACCTCACACTGGTTTGAGATGGACAGGTGCGGGCTGGGGGTGGCTTCCCTTTGGGGGGCACGCAGCATTATGATGTCCTTGAGTACCTGTGACAGGAGACTGCACGCTGCCCTCTTCGCCGCCGGAGTTCAAGAAGACGTCCAGGGCCTCCTGGTCGGAGATGTCCATGAGGTCCATGTGCTCCAGCATGTCCACGTTCACCTCCATGGACGACATGCTGCCCATGGGCTCTGCAACACAGCAGCACACAGTCACACCCGGCTCAGCACTCACGTGGGCGGGGAGCCTCTGTCAGGGCCATGTGGGGCTTTTAACATCGTTGCGGACCACGCGTACTGAACCTCAGCCTGCCACTGCCTGCCTGCGGTACAGCCTGCCACCCATCGCCACCTTCAAAGGGAACTGAAGTGGGCACATCTCAGCCTGCAGCTGGACCCGTGTCCCAAGTCCCCCTTGCTCACAGCTCTGCCTGTTCTTTGCGTCCCTTGGTTTACAGGCACTGCAGGCACGGAGCAGTTCTCGGCGGGACCAGCAGCAGACACTCGGCTCCTTTTCAGCCCGCGGCCCACTCCGGTCGGCTGCCAATGCGGGTTCTCCCCGCCCTGGTGGTCTGCACCGCAGCAGCTGCGGCTGGGCACTCCTTGCAGAGAAGGCACCGGCCGGCACAGCAGGCTGCCAGGGCGCGCTCGGAGCATGGCCAGGCTGGGCAGCCCACAGAGCTGCGGCAAGGCCCCTGCAGGTTCCACAGACACGTTCCGGAAGGGGGCGTGCACACGTAACCCTGGCTCTCACAGGAATAGGAACCGCCAGTTCCGACCCCACGTGGAGTTCACGGCACACTCGGGTCGCAGAAAGCAAACTGCAACCATCCCTTCCTGCCCACACTGATGGACTGCGAGTGACGTCACAGGGCTTCCAGACAGGAACAATGTAATCGCTGGATTCTAGAACTCCAGGCACATGTTCAATAATTAGAGCCCAGTAGAAAATAAACCAAAAGCCAAAGCAAGCTAAGCTGTGCTCAGCAGCTGGGAAAGAGGATGCATGTGCTGTACCCTGCGTAACAGCGATGCTCGCCTACACCAACGATGGACACAGCACCCAAGACAAAGATGCAGAGAAAGGCAGCCAGAGGACGCACCTGCCGACAAAGGGAACTTCTGAACAACATGTGAGACAAATGTCGTCTCTAAGATGTCATTTAAGATGCACTTCAGACCAGCAGAGCCTGCCTGAAGAAGGTGTGCCTGCTGGCAAAGGGACTCGAGTCGGAGAGGGGTCCTGTGCCGACCGGAGCTGCACAGGGGCTGAGTGACGGGTGGGCAGTCTTGGACACAGAATCACGCAGAGTTCCGCTTGACGAGATGGAGGACACACTGTGCGCATTCGAGGTTGGGGATGGCAGTCTGTCCCAGTGGACGCGCCCACGCTGGCGGCAAGCCCCGGCCGACCGCCAGGGGGCGCCAGGCCCGCTCTGCCGTGGTGCTGATGCAGGAGCATCTTCAGGGGCCGATCCTCACCCTGATCCCCACGGGGACTCGGGGACTCCTGGGCAGCCTCCACGACCCCGGAGGCTGCTGGTGGGAGGGCTGCATGAAGGCTCCTCCCGCGGCCCGGTCCCCAAAGCCCTGGCGCGGTGGCCGCTCTGCACGGCTTTCCTGGACTTTGCCTTCACTTCAGGTCAGACTGCGACACCTTTCTGAAAAGGCCAGAGCGCAACCGAAAACGGCAGAGAGAAGTGACAAAAAAGCAGAGGGAACGCGTTCAAGAAACGTGGCTGAGGAAGACAGTCCTGACGCGCGGAGTCTGGAACTGCGAGGAGACTGGGCAGCTACCGGCCCAAGCTGCTACCCGGCTACAGCGCCGCTCCCAGCTGCGTCCGGCAGGCGCTACTGACATACAAACACTCAGACACATTAAAGGACTTTTTAAATGTAGAAACCTGTAATAAGCCTATAATAAGGCAAATAATTTAAGAAAACATACAAGTTGAAGAAATTCAATCATAATGACAAATTTGAAACATCTAGTTAAATATCAAAAGGATAGAATTCACCTAAAAGTACTCTGCAAGAAACGCATACCTTTGAGTGCCTTATTAGAAAACGAATGCTGAAAGCCAAGCCCGCGCCTTCAACACACCCAGAGCAAATGTCCCGCACAACGGGTCAGTGGCCACCCAGGTCACCTGCTCTGCTGCCAGCCTCCGGCTGACGCACCCGGGGGAGGTGGCAGGGAACAACACCCAGGACGCGGCTCCTTGCCAGCCACACCGGAGACAGGGACAGGGTCTGGAGCCCCAGCTTCAGCCCGACCTAGCCCCAGTGAGGGCAGGCCTTGGCGATGGGAGCCAGCAGGTGGCAGATCGCTCTCTGCCTTTGAGATAAACAAACAAACAAAAAAATAAGCCTTTAAACACAGAGAAACGTCCAAAGAAAGCAAAGCTAAAGAGAAGTTAATCACCATGGAGAGAAGTTGGTTTCTTGGGGAGAAAAACTTCAAAGTGAGGTGGTTCCGGTAGGACTCACTGAACCAGAGAAGAGGCACAAATGAATGACTTAGCAAAGCCGAGCCAACCTAGCAACAGAACACAGCCGCGCCGGGAAGGCTTTCGGCGCAGTTTACGGCAACAGGCAAAACGAACAACAATCAGTCGGGTAACCAAGAGGCGGCACGTCCTTCGGCAGAGGTCCCTGGGTCCAGGCAGGGCCCCACGCCAAGCTCGGAAACGGATGCTGATCAATGCGCACCCACAAAACCACTGGGATCCCCGAGAGGCCAATTCTCCCTCAACCTGGAAACTCAGCCTAGCTGGGTTGAGTCTTGGCAAACAACCTGAAACCTCAACGCTGGCGCAAAAGCATGAAGAGCTGCCAGGCAGAATACGGAAAAGAGCAGAACTGCAGGGATAAGACTTGGTGGAGTGCCCTGCTCACCTGGAGCTGGGACTTCCTGAGACGTGGAAGTACAAGCCATCAACACTACCATGGATCGAGCCGATGGCCCACACAAGCACAGCAAGGCCACTCCGAGACACACCAACAGAACTTACCAACACCAACGCTGAACCGACTCGGCGAAGATGAGTATCAAACACCCAAATGAAAGTGACAAAGCTGTAAGGATCTGACGTATCAAGTGCTGACACAGATGTCACTGGAAAATGCCCACACACAGCTGGGAATGCTGTAAGTGGCACAGACCTCTTGACAAGTAACGTGCCAGCATCTAGCAAAGCCGCACACACACAGCTGACCAACAGACATGCATGCCATGTTCGGTGACCAAAGACACAGAGGCCACATGACCAGGAAGCTTCCATCCTCATGCCAGCAGTCTCAGTCCCCATCTGAGCCCTGGTACACAAGCAACCGCCAGAGGGAGGCGCACGAGGCCGCCTCGAGCAACCTGCACCAGTGCGTGGAGGTGCGCTCAGGCGTCGTCTGCAGTGTGAGGAGACAACCCTTGGAGACGCACCTTCACCTTCGGAAAGCCATGTGAGAACATGACCGACGCGTCCGGGCTGACAGGGCTGACATGGATGCTGCCCGGGGGTCAGGTGTGAGAGCCGGATGAGGCGTGTGTGTGCATGTGTGGGTGGCGTGTCAGGCAGCGCTCGTTGCGGGGGAGCCTGAGCTGTACAGATGGGGCGCTGCTGCAGCTGGGGCAGTGGCGGGGAGAGGCTGGGGACACTGCTGGCACCAGCACATCTGTGGCCCATGGAATAGCGCAGGACACGGCATAAAAAGCGGAATTAAATACACTGCCATCCAGAAAGGGGCTGGGCGCCATTACTGTCACCACTTTGCTGGGTATTTAAAACACTCCTTACTACACATCAACGACGACTCTGAAGACTTACTAAATAAATAAATAAAGTTTATTTAGAGTCCTAAATAAAAACCTCCCGGGGGCCAGGTATGCCAGGTTACAGTCATCAGGTGCTAGAGTGAGTCTTGGGGACAGTCTGTGGGCACCAGGCCAGCTGCATTATGCCACTCTTTCTATCTTATCCAACTGGACCACCAACTCCGGCCCGTGCCCTGGGTACCTTGGGCATCCAGGGTAGTGTGCCTCCCTGAGCACCGGGGCAGGCTGGCCAGGCTGCTGGTTCAGCACAGACCAGGGGGAACCCGAGCTGGGAGCCTGGGGACACAGGTCACGTGGTAATAAACCAAGGCACGGTGTGACACACTGAGAGCCAGCCTGAAGTAGCAGCTTTTCTGAGAAAACAGGAGTGATGGCAGCCAGAAAGACAGGCCTGGGCCAGGGTCTCACCGAGCACCCGACCCCGTGCTGGCAGTGCTGGTCTGTCACACCTGTGCCGGGCCGCATCTGGCTCCGCTCTCCCCAGGCGCCCCTTCCTGGGATACACGTCCCACGGCGCTGCTCCTGCAAGTGAGGGGCACGCAGGCTGCTGCTTCCACGTGACTCTGCAAGGCGGTGTCCGTGCAGCGACTCCACCAGGCTCTGCTATGCTAAACTAAACCTTCCTGGGTTCACCCCTGGAGACAGAGACACGGTGTGAATCCCGGCAGAGGCCCGGTGGTTGTGTGTGCATGACCCCCAGCTCCCACAAAGCTGAGAGTGCAAACCGACACCTCCTGCTTTTCCGGGTAGTGGCAGCAGGAGCCTGACACCTGTTCTTACCTCAGTGACCCAACCACCCTGTAGTGAAACAGGAAGCAAACTATCCTGGAGCTGCTGCTCAGAATCCCAAAACTGCCCCGCCCAGTTGAGCTGGTCGCTGTTTGACAAGGATTCGCCCTCTGCCTTCACTCCCGCAGCTGCCATGTTCTGCCACGACTACGAAGCTGCTGCAACATTTCTGGGGCTGGCGGACCAAAGTGCACACATCCCGTGCGCGATGGTACCCTGAGCAAGCACACATCCAGGCACTGAGCATGGAGGGCCTCGCTGGCAGCGTCTCCTTCACCTCCCATCCTCTCCAGAATGCACAGCGGCAGGCTGGCCACTGGGTGTGAGACTCAAGACACCCTATGTTTGTGTCCCCTCCCATTTCACCTGCTGACGCCTGAGCCCTCAGCACAACGCTGTATGCAGTGGGGCCTTAGGAGATGGTGACTGACTGCCAAGGACACGTGTGGGTCCTTGGTACGGAAGTCTTACAGTCAGGGGCCGCAGCCCCTTTGGCCACACGTGGGCACTGTCAGAAGGCAGTCACCTGCCAATCAGGAGGCAACCCTCCGCAGACATCAACAGCACCTTGATCCAAGCAGAGCTCCAGACTGAGAGAAAATCGACTCGTGTTGCTAAGGCCCCCCAGCCAGCAGCATTCTGCTACAGCAGCCCCAACAAGGATGGAGTCCTCAGCTCCAGCCCGTCACAGGATGGAGGTCTCCAGGGCAGACTCCATGCCTCCCCAAGCCACTGGGTCAGCCACGCTCCACCAGCAGCACCAAACACTAGGGCATCAGCTGCTGGCACACGCCACTAGGTGGAGATGACTCCGAGCAGCGCGCTGCCGGAAGGTAGGAAGCTGCCAGCCGGCCGAAGAGCAGCTTTCCGTGCTGAGCTGCCCACCGGAGCGCCGCGGGCAGCCGAGGGTGCTGGCCACATGCTGAGCACATGCATGTGGCTCATCTGCATCTCTGCCTGCTCGCCTGCCTCACCTCTGCTTTCTCTCCCCGCTCCTGGGAGAGGACAGAGGATCATGGGAACGTGTGGGGGATGTGGCGTGCCAGGAAAAGGGATGAAGAAAAGGGGAGTGGGCTTCCGGGGTGCAGGAGGGTGGGTGGTAAGACACCCATGCCTACAGGAGGGCAGGGAAGGGGTACCCTGGCCACATCTCCAGTGTCCTGGGTACCGCTCCCAGGCCACAGCGGGGGGTGGCAGAGGAAGGAGTCCATTCCCCAAGTTCTCTCCTAGTCAAGTTTTCTGTTTCCACTCCCAGATGCTCCTAAGAGCCCCACGCACAGTGGCGAAGAGGCTCTGCGTTCAGGAAGGGCCCTGCTCACCCATGCACGCTGTCCCTCTCCCGAGGAGCCAGCTGCAAGGCCTGCCCCAGGGTGCCGGCACTGCGCATGTGCAGACCCCTCCCCCTGTTATTCCCAAACAACACCGTGTGACCACTCCTGGCACAGGGCCGGCACCGTAGCAGGCACTACAGGCAATCAAGAGGTGACAGTGTGTGCAGGCCAACACAGAGGGGACCTGGGTGTTGCAGACTTTGGTAGCCTTGGGGTCCTGGAACCAAATCCACTGCTCCCACACCAGAGAGTGAGACGACTGCCTGGGTACACTCCGACAGTGACAACACAGCGTTAAATACACAGCCTTGCAAAGAATTCCTGTCAGCACGGAAGGAGCCCCTTATGTCTGAGGTTTCTTCACAAAGTTTGGGGGAAAACGCAATTAAATGTATGGTGCTGGGGGAAAAAAAAAAAGCCTTGAAATCCATGCATAATTTTGTTTCAAAGTGGGCGTTTTTCATGAAGTTTTCTGAGAATTCCCTTCAGGCAGGAACTTCAACCAACACTGACCCGGCAACAGCGCAAGCCTGTGCCGAAACACAGGGCATCCCGGGACTCAGTTCTCTTGTCTTTTTTACTTAGTTTTTTCTTCTACATTTTCTATCATGGAATTTGTAATTTTAAAATGCAGTTGAAAAAACGTCTTCAGCTAGAGACTGGGCGAAGGCAGGACAGAAGCCTGCGCACGCTTGTGCTCCGTCAGAGCTCGCGACCCCGGCGCCCCGCCACTCACCCCGGTGCCCCGTGATGTGCAGGTGGCCCGTGGACAGGTACTGCTCCACATCCTGCTGGAAGGCTTCCTCGAAGAACTTCTGCCGCTCCTTCAGCCGTGCCTGCTGGGCGTGCTCCATGTCCTGCACCCGCTGCGAGTGCTCGGCATCTAGTTCAGCTAAGGAAGTGGAGTGACAGGGGTTAGGGTCCGAAAGGGGACTGACATGGGCACTGGCTCATCCCCCCCGGCCCCCACGCTGCTTCCACAGCCGTCTCCTTGTTGGGTCTGTCGCACTGGCTGCTGGGTGTAAGCCTGATCTGCACACTGCAGCCGGAGGGGCTTGGGGGGAACGTGGAGCTGCCCAGCCACATGTGCCCGTGGTGATGTGTGCTCTGCTCCCACTGCTGCTTGTCCACGCCTGTGTGCAGGGGCATGGGCTCACAGGGTGCAAGGAGCACAGGGCTGCAATTAGTGCCACTCAGGCCCTGGCCTTGCAGCGGTCATGCCCTCACACCCCTTCCAGCCCACCTCCGCTGCGGCCCTCCAGGTCCCACGGCAAAGGCCGTGCCTGGCATCCCAGGTGCCCCCCAGCAGCTGGCAGAGCCCAAGTCCAGCAGCCGCCTCGAGGTGACACTGCAGACGTCACTCTGAGGACAGCCCCAGGAGGTCGCATAGCAGCCCACACGTCCTCTCCCGCTGGCAGACTGACTCTGCTCGCTTTTCCTCCCGCACTGCCCGTCCTGCCTGATGTCCAGCCACATTCTCAGAGAACACTGGAGCCTGAAGCAGCCCTGCTGTCCGAGCTGGGCTGCCCAGGACCAGGCAGGTCAGAGCACCGTGTCCTCAGGCTGTCACCCGCAGGCACATGGCGCTGGCCACATACTTCAACAGACTCCTGAGGGGCAGGAAGTGGCAGAGGACCAGGAAGAGCATGGCATCCCTGCGCGCACACATCAGTCAGTTCAGTCGGTTGCCCTGCGCTTTCGCCAGCACACGGACAAGGAATTCAGAGCGCACTCAAAAAGACAGAGAAGACAAAACCGAACGGAAGAGGACGGCTCTTCACAGGCTTTGCCTCAGCTGTCACAGTGTCTGAGCAGAAACTGCCTGACTGCCAAGTGCAGCCGACCGAGTCGGCCCTGAGACAGCAAGGCTGCTTCAAGCACTTCAAAGTTAGGTATGCCAGGCTACGCAGCTCAACAGCAAAGATCAAGGTAGAAGCCTTCAGAGGAGTTCTAATTAGAGAAGACAGGAGAGCTGTAACATAAAAATGTCACTTTTCTAGGACTCAGACTGCAAAAGTTCAGTTTTCTGATGTTTCTGGATTGTAAATCCTACAGTTCATTATCTTAGCTTTTCTCTGTGGGAATCTAACCCAACCAGGGCTCAGCCCTCAGAGGAGAAAGGGCTGCTGGGCCCAGGACCTTAAAATGACTTGAAAAGGACACAGGCAAGCAAAACCATGCTGTTCGCTAGTTCTCTGGAACACCCCGGTGCCTGTGACAGCCACGTCTCGGTCACATCTCTGTCGTGTCCCTGGCTGTGCCCTCAGCTGCTCAGGAGGAAGCCTGTGGCAGCCCGGACTGGGAGCTGGACTAGGAGCTCTGCAGGCGGCGGCTGGGAGAGGCGCCCCAGCCATGCGTGGGAGAGGAGGCACAGCGTGTCCGGAGCCACCTGCCCCGCGAGCGGTGGACACGGAGGCACGGGGAAGCTTACTGTGCCCACGTGTGACAGTGATCACTCACGGGTCTAAACTGCAGAGCTCCCTCTGCAAGAAGCAGTGAACCTTTGTCCACATTTCAGACGCCATGTTCGAATGCTCTTCGCATCCCCTACCACCCTGCCGAAAGCCACACAAAAATGTAAAGAACTAAACCAATGGCGATAGGATGAATACCACCACCACCAGGACCATGCAAGGTAGTGCTGCCAGTCACTCTGGCTGTCCTTGGGGGGCTCTGCAGTGCTCCCCCAGCCATGGCTGACGGCGGTGTCCCCGTGGCCACCACCACCACCCTCACATGGCACCCCCAGGCACGTCTGACGGCGGTGTCCCCCCAGCCACCACCACCACCCTCACAGGGCACCCCCAGACACGTCTGATGGCGGCGTCCCCCCAGCCACCACCACCACCCTCGCATGGCACTCCCCGCAACAAGAACCCTGCTGCCACCACGACCTGGAACAATCCCTGGAGCGGTAGGCACCCAAGACAGACATTTTTATTTTTAATTCATCATGCTCTCTTCAGGAATAACTTCAAGTTCCTCTACAACTAAGCTTTTCAACAGAGCTGACAGAGAGAGAGAGAGAGAGAGGGAGGATCTAGGTGGAGGAGGAAGCCGCACATCCACATTAACAGATGTGAAGAGAACAATGCGACACACGTGGCCAAGCACGCCAGGACTCGCCACAGCCTGTAAGACACACAGCACAGCTTTTCTCATTCAAGACCAAGAGAGACTTGAGAATAAACCTCAACACGGGCAACTGACGCATGTACACTCTGATGTCTTTAGAGAATTCTGTGACACTAAAATACAAGTGGCATGATCAAGCAAGAACTGAGAAATCTCTATACATCCCTAAGCAAATCTGTAAATATAAACAAATTAAATGTAAACGAATGTAAACAAGTTAAACGGCTACCATAAGGCTGCACTAAATTCCTGTGACAAAATTTTAAAAACTGAGACCTACTAATTTTTCTAGGCTACTGGTTGTTAGAACTGCTTCTTTGGAGGGCTTTGTCTGTCTGTTTTATTCAACGTGTCTTAGCCATTAAACAGGTGAGAAAGGCAGCAAGATACTGTGTGTACGAGCGTGCGGTCTTCACCATCCACCTACTGAAGGCCATCTGGGCTGTTTCCACCGCTTAGCCTGCAGGAATGCTGCCTGAGGAGCTGGAACTGATGTCAGGGAGTGGAACTGCTGAGCCCTCCAGCTCTGAACGGGATAACCAGGCTGCTCTGTGGGGTGGCCACCCCAGGCGGCCCTGTTGCCAGCAGGTGAGCAAGCCGCACCCCTACCCCAGTACATGCTGTCCCTCTCCCTGGCTTAATTTTCTTTACATCTGGATTTAATACAGTATATCCGATTTCAGAAAGAAAAAAAAAACTTTATTCTGAAACTGAGAATTTGCCAAATGATGCTTCCAACTTGAAGCCCCATCCTCCGGTAACCTTTCACAATGACGCCCATTCAGCTCCTCCGTCTGCTCCACCCCCTGCGCCTCCAACAGAGCAAGTGAATAGAAACGTCTCAGATTTGGACCACAAAAATACCATCAGGAACTGTTTTCCAAGAACAGGAGCTTTTTAAGCTGCAGTTTTAAGATATCCACTTCCACCATGGGTCTCTACACATCCAGGCGTCACCTGTCATTAGCTTCATGCATGATTCCTCAGCGCACCTGCAAGTGTTACAGAGCCCAGACACCTCAGAACCAGCAGCTGGGAAACCATCCCGGCCGAGCCAGAGCCCATGTACCTTCAGAGGAAAGCAGAACGACCATCTGCTCTCCAGCACACGCCTCCTCCCCTCACTTGTTTATCAAGCACCAAACAGACCCACTTCTTCCAGAGGCAGCTGGGAAAGGCTGAGCCTTACCTGGAACCTGGCAGTGGAGAGTGGTGGCGGGATCCGGGCCTTCAGCATGAGTCAGCCTGCACACAAAGGAAGCACAGCACTCCCCAGCTGTCCCTGAGCCGGCCTGGGAGCGGCTAGGGAAGGGCTGTTTCCGAATCCCATGCCACAGGAAGTGCTGTGTTAGTGTCCGTCAATTACCCTGAAGCAGACACCCGCGAGCCGGAGCACTAGTCAAATCCAGGCTGCAGCCACACGGTGTGCCCAAGCCCTTGGCCACAGTCAGAGGAGGCCTGCCTGTGCCCCGCCACCAGTCCCAGAGCTCCAACTACCCTGCCCGGGAGCGGGCAGGCAGCCCTGCCCCAGAGCTCCATGTACCCTTCCCCGGGAGCGGGCAGGCAGCCCTGCCCCAGAGCTCCATGTACCCTTCCCCGGGAGCGGGCAGGCAGCCCTGCCCCAGAGCTCCATGTACCCTTCCCCGGGAGCAGGCAGGCAGCGCTGCCCCAGAGCTCCATGTACCCTTCCCCGGGGGGCAGGCAGGCAGCGCTGCCCCAGAGCTCCGTGTATCCTGGCAGCCCTGCCCCAGAACTCGGCGTGGCTGCAGTGCTGTCTGCATCTGGGCTGCTCAGCCCCAGGAAAAGGAGGGACTGGATGACAGAGCAAGGTCACTTCCAGCTCCTGGTTCTGTTTTTACTCATTTCAGGTTGGGGCAGGAAAGAGTGATCCCAACCTGTTTGCTTGCTTGCTTTCTCTCTCTCTCTTTTTTCTCTTTCCTTCCTTCCTTCCTTTCTTCCTTCCTTCTTGTTAAATTTTCATTTTGAATTTTGAATTTTATGGTACAATTTTGTATAGACTGGGGTCTCCCCCCCAAACTCCCACCTGTCTGTTTTTGTAGTAAACAGATAACAACAGGTTGGCATTAAGGAACTGAAAACATTTTGAATTGTACTGCACCACTTCAAGAGAATTAATCAGCAATGAAAACCTAAGGAGGTTTCTACATTCTTTTTTTTTCCTGGAAATTTTATTATTTAAAGAATGGGTGGAACTCAACAGTTTAAGATTACTGACAAATGCAGAATGCTGTCACTCTTCAGTGAGAGCCTTTACACGACAGCCACCTGTTCCAAATCCACAAGCTCAGGTTAACACCCAGTCCGGCGGCTTGAACAAGTTCATGTGGCCTCAAGGCTACTGGAACTCCCTGCAGGAGACCAGCACGTCGCTAAACGGATACATGGGTAAGGACTGGGGCCAGCCACGGTGGCACAGCACACTAATCCTCTACCTGTAGCACCAGTCCGTGTCCCACTGCTCCACTTCCCATAAAGCTCTCTTGTTTACAGCCTGGGAACGCAGTGGGAGAGGGCCCAAAGCCTTGGGCTCTCCCATACTCACGAGGGAGACCTGGATGAAGCTCTTGGCTCCCACCTTCGGATGGGTTCAGCTCTACCTCTTGGGACCATTTGGGGAGTGAACTAGCCACTGGAAGACCTCTCTTAAAAAATACTGCTTTTCAGCATCATAGTCAAGTGACTAAGTCCTCAACCTGCATGTCTGGGATACCATATGGGTGCTGGTTCATGTCCTGG